TTTATCTCCTGGATTCAGACTGAGGCAGCCCACAAAAACATGACTGAGTCATTTTTTTCACACTTTGCCTGCTGATAGACCCTCCACAGTCCCAAATGTACATAATCAAATGATTAAAAACTTGGTTTTGCATAATATGTCCCCTTTAATATTAACAATCAGGGTCCTGCTGAAGGATTTTAAAGCGCTGTGGTCTGGGTGGTGTTTAGGTGTGAGAGGCTCCACCTGGCGGCTGGATCCCCGCGGCGCTCCGCAGGGCGTTGTAGTGCGGCCCCCAGTTCTCGTGGCGCACCGCCCCGGTGGGGCCGACCACCTTCACCCACTCCGGGTTGTTGTTGACCACCTCTCCGGACGTGGTGGTCCACTCCTTCCCCAGGCCGCCAACGTACAGGCGCTCATCCTTCACCGCCAGCCACTCCGCCTTAAACCCTGAAAAAGGAACAGATTATTGACCAAACTTCCTCCTAAACTCTGATATCCATCCATCCATCCATCCATTATCTTAACCCCTTATCCCCTAATGGGGTCTAGGGGGGCGGAGCCTATCCCAGTAGCCAATGGGGAGAGGCGGGGTCCCCCTGGACCAGCTACATGTGTGTCCATCACAGGGACACACAGAGACACACAAGGACCAACAACCACACACACTCACACTGAGAGCAGTTTGGAGTCCAACAACCTAACATGCAGGTTTTTGGACGGTGGGAGGAAGCCGGAGAACCCGGAGAGAACCCACAGACACAGGAGAACATGCACACTCCACCCAGAAAGGTCCTGGTTCCCCCGGGACTCCAACCCAGAACCCTCTGGTCCTGGTTCCCCCGGGGACTCCAACCCAGAAACCCTCTGGCTTTGAGGCCATGGTGCTGCTCCGCCCCACTAGGGATGGGGATCGAAACCCGGTTCTATCTAGGACCCGGTTCCACTTTTGTTGTAACCCGAAAATCAATAACGTTTGGGCTTATTGATACCAGTATCGAGTCTGGTCGTTTTTTTTTTTTCTCCCGGAGGTCCTGTAACATAATTGTGTGTCCCTCGAGTCGCGTCACAGCATTTAAAACTAATCACACACACACAGACTCTGTAGCTTGTCTGGTCAGTTAAAAATAGTAATTGTGAAATCCGTGTTGTAATCGGCAGCATACAAGCTAGTTAGCTTGAAAAGTAAATAAAGTTTCAGACGTGCTGTGTGATGATGTGTTCAGATTGGCTATCAATAAATATTAACGATCCCCATCCCTACCCCCCACTCTGATATAGTTTTCTGATATAAAAATATACTATAATAATAGTGTTCCCCCGCCTTGAGACAGACCTTTGGAGACGGAGCCGTCCCCGTCGGGCAGGATGACCCAGGGGACGGCCTGGCTGCCCTGGATCCGGTACACCACCCCGGTGCGGTCGTCCACGCTGTACAGGTGGCCGTTGAACACCACCAGCTCGGACAGCTCCATGCCTGCGGGGGGGGGAGGCCACACTGAGCACCTGAACTATAGACGTGTCCTCCGTATGGAGGCTCGTACCGATGTATGAGGTGACGTTTGAAGCCTGACTGATTCAGGAAGTGGTTCGTGGTTTGACCTTCTATTTGAAATATAAGGGCCAGCAAAAATGCAATGAACCCCCCCCCCCTCACATTTTGTGGACTTGGGACTTAATTACGAGTTTGTTAGCGATCTGTTCAAGCTTCCCTGTCATTGTAAAGACAGACACCATATAAAAGTTTATAATTTCTGTATAAGCATCACAAACATCCATCCGTCCACTATCGTTACCCCAAACTATCGTTATTCCCTAATGGGGTCGGGGGGTAGAGCCTATCCCAGTAGCCAATAGGGAGAGGCGGGGTCCCCCTGGACGGCAGCATCACAAATATTGTTGATTAATTAATTCAAAGCTTCAATCTCATTATAGTCATGCTGTACGGTTTACATTTATCGTCCACTTTATGGCACAATAGAGCAAAATGAACTCATTGACTGCCAAAGACGTCTATAGACGTCTTTTATGTTTTTCAACGAGAGTGGCTGGGGGACGATCTGCTAAAGCTTGTCCATAAATATTGGCTTCTAGACAGAGTATGCAGTAACAAATTGACCCTCTAGGTGGCAGTGCCACTTTTGGTGGGAGATTAGCATAGATTGTAGGCAAATAAGAAAAAGGTAACGGTTCGCTATGAGAGAACATGTCGCCGGTGAGACGCAAGTCGAGGAAGAAGGGAATAAGGTAGAAACAATTTTTTTTTCCTGATGAAAGAAGAGAGTCTACTCTTTCTTTTGGTGTGTTCGTTTACATAGTCATAGCACAAACAATTCTGTGGCTCTTGAAAAATCAGTCAAAATGCTCAAAAAACTCTAGCAGTATGGGACTCTGTTCTGAAAATGGCTGGCAGTCAATGAGTTAAGCACCATGAAGCTTCAACACACGAGTGAACGGTTCAAAGCTTCATGGAGCTCCATCTGGCCATCACTACCCAGAACCCACGCACCTCGCCCCCTCTCAGAGAGGTGGCTCTCCAGGGTGACCACGTCCGGGTCCCACTCCACCTCCAGCTGCTCCCCGCCCCCGGACACCGTCAGGTGGCCCCTCTTCATGTAGCTGAACCAGGTCTGGTGCTTGGGGCT